AATAGTTTTTAAAGCCTTAAGTTTTATGGATTTGTTGTGAAGTATTTTTGTTGTGAGAAATAGTGTCATAAAAATTATGTCAGCGAAGAGTTAAACGCTTTTACGTCACATCCAAAGCCTTTTTTATACGAAACCCTTTAACTCTTTTTGGTATTAATATATAGTTTTTTGTGTATATTTTTTCTTATCATTTAATTACATGTAAATAGTCTTTCGTTGAGAGAAAAAATAAAAAATGTGTTAATTTTACTCATTTGGTGTTTATTTTGCGCAAACATTGCCTTAACTCTAGATTATTGATTAAAACTAAAAACTTTTAAACAACTTTCTCATCACTATTTGTTTGTTATGTTATAAACAAACAATTTCTTTGAATTATATATTTTTATTTCTTATAAAATAAATAGTTATAAATAAACAAAAAACATTTGCCATAATAAGTAATGTTAGCAATAATAATAGATATTATTATTACACTAAATAATAAGTTAAAGTGCGTTAAAAATTAGTTTTAATTAATTTCAATTAATTATATTACGGATCCAATCAATAAAAGCGGGAACTTTGGTGTAGAGACCGGGATATCCGGGGCGACCGCACCCGTTGCCCGTCGACACTATGCCCACAACAGTAGCCCTTCCCGTGCGGTCTCTTTGGATTAGAGGGCCTCCAGAGTCACCCTTTGTAAATGATATTATAAAATTGATACATGGTAAATTATTTACTTTTTAACCCATATAAATGATGACAAAACAACCATACCTGACACGAGTCCTTGCCCTCAGAACCGGCACATATTTCCAGCTCTGGTGAGAAGCCCCGGCCGTACATCTCTTTGCACTGTCTATTCAATGAAATAATTGATTATTTAATTTTAATTTATTATTTAAAAGTGTTATATTTAAAATTGTGTTTATGTGTTAAGAAATGTATTTCCCATTTTTATACATTTCAAAATGTAGAAACAAATCGATGATTGGTTACGTTAAGCCGACAACTCAATCATTCATTACTCGGTGATTTTATGGGTATATTTCAGTGCAAATTAATTAAGATCTTTACAAACTCTGTCTAAATATAGACTTTCAGTGCAGTCGTACTATTGGTACAAAAAGCATGAGTGTAATTATGAATGAAATCCTGTTTTTGTAAATTCCCTGCACTTATACACAAAAATCTAAATTGCATTTATCTGATAATGGATGGGAAAATCACTTACTTTGCGGGCACGAGGGGTAACTCAACGGCTTTCAGGTCAATGGAGTCGTCGCCGTTTTCCTGTGTTGTGCCCCAACCGGTGGTGATTAACCTCTTGTTTATTACCATATTCTTATCGGTCGGCAAACAGACAGTGTTAATGGCCAGACCTCTGGCCAGAACTCTGACGGGCTTTTCCAGGGCTATGAGTGCGATATCGTTGAGCCCACGGCGGGACTCGTACTGCGGGTGAAGTATAGCATCGGTTATACGTAAGGTTAGGCTATTGGTGGCCGGAGGGGCAATAGTCTCCGACCCGGCGATCACCCGAACCCGTCTTAGTTCGCCAGTCATCGCCTTTCGGGTCTCGCCGTTGAACGCCCTGTAAATCATTTGATTATAATTAGTAAACATGTTATAAATAATAGTTAATTAAATGCTAAGAATAGGCTTACCATTCAAGACAGTGAGCGGCTGTCATAACCCATTTGGGATGAATGAGAGAACCGCCGCAAAAGTGTGTGGACCCGAAGATGGGTGACCAGCGTTGGAGTGACACCTGCCAGGGATAGTCACTGATAGACACATCCACTCCGCCCACGATTCTTGTGCCACTCATTCGTGTCATATTCGCTGGTAAACCGCATTTTGTCTGATACTGAGTGACCAGATCTCCACCGTAATCGGCGGTCGATGTGGTGAACAGTGGATATATGGGCCCATCGGGTCCGCCGGTGCCGTACGGCCCGTCGGTTACCGGTTGTATAATATTCAGCGAAAACGGTTTGTCTGAGTGATAGAAACCAATTGTGGCCAATATTTGGGCGAAAAATGATTGTAAATTCATAATAATTTTCTAATCTTGTATTTATAATACAAAAACAATTGTAATAAATGTTGAATAATAGATGTAGTAATTATTGGAAACAATAAATGTTTGTTAAAATTATTATTTCTATTAAAACTTTCATTATATTTCTGTCATTGTCTTGTAATGCATACAAAAATTCTTTGAAATAATGTTTTTATTTACAAAAATGAATTAAAAATTGATTAATCATTACTTTTTAATGTATTATATATTTATTCTGTATATATATATTTATGAAATCTCAAGAATATTATACGACAATAGCATTGAAAGTAAAAATGTATTACAAAAACACTTTTATTACATTATTATCATTATTAACAGTAATGTATAATTGCATTGAATTTAGAAAACATGTATAAATCATACGATATATCACTCGTAAAGAGTCTAACCTTTATTTGATAGACGAAAAGGTCTTTTCCATTGATTTAATTTTGTATTTTATATAAAATTTTAAAAATTAATTTCAAATCACACACACATTGGTATTGATCTCATGATTGATTTCGTCAATTATGTGGTTTGATATTTAAACATATGTTTTAACACTGTTTTCATTCATACAATTGTGATCATGAAATATAAGTCAATACCGAAATGATGTATCATTTATTTTTGTCACATATTTCTCAAATAATATTTGTATTTAGAGGTTATTTGTGTGAATTGTAACTAATATTAACTTTATTTTTCAAAGTTTTGTGATTAATAAATCTAATTATTTTCTATGCCTACTATTAATCTATTTGATATCTCATATCTTATCTATTAATTGGGAACTTTAAGTGAGATTATGTTATAATTAAAAATCAATGCAACATTTCAATGAAGACTTTATCATTAAATCAATTTGCTATTCAATAGCCTATGTCTTCAAAGTCACGGGAATTTACTTTCATATGTTAGACATTAGATAATAACAAATAATTACATTCAATGTTGATCTAAACATTTTTCATGTTATTATCTATACATCCATAATAACATAATTATTTTTAATTATTAGAGATATAGTTTATATCATATATACCATGATGTCTGAAAAGATAGGCTTTGCCTATATGCTCCCATAGACAATACATTACAGTTTTGCTCAATTTCTGCTCATCTAGACGCCCTGATATATACGACTAAATTTATAGCAAAACTTTTAGATAAGTATTAAACAGTTATCTTCAGCGGTAAGAAAGTTGTTTCCTGTTGTGCTATAAACTATTGTAATGTCCATTCAATTGTTGGTCATAAAGTCGGGCATTACATTTGGTAAATGTATTGTTTTATAAAATGTTTGTTTATTAGTTTAAGTAGAAATTTTAATATTGTAATTTTTATTAATTCAAAATTATATTTAATAATGAAATTAATAAATAAGGAAAACTAATAATACTACACTATACAGTAATAGTTTTCATAAATTAATATTATGATCAAAGTAATTATAAGTCAAATTTAGCAGTAGCATGGTTAATTATAAGCTAATTATTCATTAATTATCATTTAATACAAAATACATGTTTACTAATTATAATTATATACATTGTATTCAATTAGTAAATAGCAGATTGTTTATACCATTGTTTATGACCAATTCAATTTACACTAATTATATAATTAATATAAAATATACTGGATTTAAAAAATAATACAAATTTTAATTAGTTATTTCTCAATACAATAGTCAACGCAAACAAAATAATAAGTATTAATAAATTGATAACAAACAGTAGAAAGTGAGAGATAGAAAACTCTAATACTTATAAGGTTTTAATCAAAAATACAGAAAACATGTGGATTTGAATAATAAAATTCATTTGCGAGACAATGAATAAAAAGCAAAATACAAATCATTTTTACACATCTCTTTCATAATACAAAAAATACAAACATCTCTTCACTTAAAATACACCCAAACTTATGGGCAAAATTACAAGTCATTGGGCGCCTCCTCGTCCTCTTTGGGCGGCTTTTCATACGTAAGATCGTTGAGATAGTAGAAGCTGTCGGAGTCCTTACAGTTAACATTGTATTCCCAATCGCATACTCTGTACTCCTGGTTGAAAGCCGTCTCATTTGGACATATCATTGACACCCGGCGTCCGAAAGCGTCGCAAATGTGAAACACTTGACAATCAAACTCGACGTCCGCGTAGTAACCGATCGCCCGATTCTTGCACTCAAAGTGAAACTCAGTGTCCGGCAAATCGGCCCATCGTTTCACCTTATTGTGTCCAAGTTTTGATTGATCCAGGTCAGTATTGGTGTGTTTACAGGTAGTAATGTGTAATTAGTTTTATTTTTGTAAGTAATTTGTGATGGTTTTAACTGTTAATTATAATTACTTGTACTGTAATGAGTTAAACGTGTGTTTATGCCTTAATTGTAGTAATTATTTGTGTTATATTAGTGTTAATAAATGGCATGATTTTAATTAGTTTAGAAAAATTATTACAAAGATGTGTTAATATATTCTGTTACTATTAATACACATGTTATGAACGCAAAAATATAATTTATTTTATTATTTTCTGAAATATCTTTTTAAAAAGCTTTTATATGAAATCATTTTATAATGAATTAATTATTCATTGCATTGTGTTTTCATGTGAAAGATGTTTAAAACATTTTTAACACTTACGACCAATAAGTATATGAAAATAAAAGTAATAAATATATTAAAATTCATTAATAAGTAGGCGTTTAAGGAAAAGGATTTCATTTTGTGATCAATTCAAGCGCTTATTCTCATCGGAAAAGATGTTTAAATGAATTTTAACGGCATTTTTATTCTGGTTTTAATCAAAACGATTTTTAATTATCATTTAAGTCATTAAAAAGTCAATTCATTTTATGATTTTAAATACCGTTTTGGCAAAGAGTGTGCTCTTCATAATAATAGGGAAGGGATTTGCAAATCAACACAAATATACAGGTGTTTAGGCATTGGATGTAATTAAAAAAGTCTACATTTTATTGAGAATATAAAATGTTTTGTTTTGTTTAAAACATTTTCCTAATAACATATTCTCAATCATAAGACAATGGGATTGAAATCATAAAACTAATATCTATTGATATGGAAAACAATATTTATGTTAAATATAATGTTTTATTATCCCATTAAATGCAATAATATTCTGTATTATAGATATTCAGCGATTTAATAATTTGATTAAAAATGCAATGTTTTTCATCATTTTGTTTAGATATTTAATAAATGCAATAAAATGCGGAAATTTTACAATTCATATCTAAACTTATGTTTTTGTGTTTCCATTAAAAAATGTTGAGAGAGAGAGAGAGAGAGAGAGAGAGAGAGAGAGATGTGATAAAATAGGATATACATTACGATAAAAGTGAGAGAAAAGTAGATTAAATATAAATATAAAGTACTGTATGAGAAATGTATAGAAAATATAAGCGAAGAGTTAGTGAAAATAAAACCTCTGTTATTATAGTAAATGTTTTCTTATATTTTATTTTTCTTATTTGTTGTTATTTTATATGTCATGATATGTGAAGACTTACCCGATTTAATGACTTGGAGTATACAATGGCTAACGCTATAAATAGGGAGATATGTATGAGAAAAACAACAAAAATCATATTTTATATTAAATATCATTACTATTATTATTCCCAACAAAATTGTTGCACACTTTTAACATAAGGCTAACAAAAAAACCAAAAATAAAATTGCGTACAAAATAACGAAATAGACTTTCAGTTTTTTAACATATGCTGTGATATAATAATGGCCTCAAAAAAGCGGAGAAATTATAAAATACTTTCGCAAAGAAGCGAAAGAAAGAGAGAAATCAACGAAAAAATATTATAATTAATTGAAAAATAAAAGCT